AGCACACAATTCCCCTTAGATTTCCAGATAAATGTTTGCCTTTGCACAACAGCATCGCTGGTTGGAGCTTTCTCAGTTGACATAAAAATGAAATTAGTGACACTTTTGAATATTCAAATGTTGCCCAACAAGTTGTGAGTGAACTATCTTGTGTGCCGGCGCGACGCATATCCAGTAAAATCATTTCATCTTGTATTTTATTAAGAATTTATCGTTGGACCCATTTTCAGTTACAGCACTTTTTTCCTAACGAGGAGTCGTACAAAGGAGTATTCCATTCAGAATACATTTTTGTCGTTGACACATCGCATTCCATCATAATAAAGCGCACACGCAAACATGTTCGATCCGATGAGCTAAAAATCACTTGAGAAGAGAATCGGAACACTTTCTTCAATCTGGACGTCAGTTGATTCAACTGATTCATTTTCCAGGCTATTCGAAGGGTGGAAAATCTTTGCTGTCAATTATGGAAATGCATCCATCATGATTATTATGAAAACATCAGGATACGTATTCTATGTATTCGATACATTAAACCAGGACGACAAACGTTTTAATTGTGTGTATTATTCAAGATGTAGGTTGTGAGCCGGAAGCTGCGCGTACCATGTCATCATAGAGGAGATATCAAATTCATCGTTATCTTTCTTGCAATTGAAGCATCTCAAGTGTAGCCGTATTTGTGCAACGGATTGTAAATTTGGTTGTTATTTTTCCAGTGTGCATTTTCATGCAAATGGATTACGAGCATATCAACAAAGCCAAGCACAACATTAGCGGCATGTTTTGCATTTTCACATCGCTGGTGTTAATGATACAACAGATAATGACAGCGGCATTCATTCACAGCGGTTGAATAAAGCTCCGAATTGTGCTTATGAAAAGGAATTTGTAGTTTTTGGAGTATCATTTGTTTGCAACAATTTTCAGTAGTATCATTCGAGCACTTGACTGTAATTTAACGACTAAAAAACGAAGCTATAAACAGTATTCGTTGAGTTTGTTATGTTGATTAAGCGGATGTTAACGTCTTACTAACGACTCGTACACTAACGTGCAAAAGTTTGGAACCACTAGGTATTTTTCATACAAATTGACCATTTCTGGTGGACTCATTAACATATTTTGGAAACACCTGCACTCTTGATATTTTTTGCATATCTTCTACAACGTTTCAATAGTAAATCAGAGAGGTTTCATCAAAAAATATTCATGAATTTCAAAAATATAGCAATTTGAATTTGTACTGTGTGAAAAATGATCAAATTTGTATGAAGATTAAAACAGATCAAATTCAAATTGATATATTTTTTAAATAAGTGAATAATTTTTGATGAAACCTCTCTGATTTACTATTGAAACGTTGTAGAAACTAAGCACAAAATATCAAGAGTGCAGGTGTTTCCGAAATATGTTAATGAGTCCACCAAAAATGGTCAATTTGTATGAAAAATACCCAGTGGTTCCAAACTTTTGCACGGTAGTGTATGCCAGACCATATTCGCGAAGCAAAGTTTGTAAACAAAACGCTGCACGATGCGATAAATCGGTAATTGTATGATGTTGCTCAAATATTTTAGCGTAAATATTTCATCGTATCTTCATTTATATTGAAGTAATGAGATTATTAATGCTTCCTACATACTTCATCATCAGTGCAAAGCATAAATTATAGCGCGTCAGGGAATTTTCATCGTTCGTATTATTTTGGCCCTTCAAACGAAATATTTTCACGGAATTCCCGTTGAAAGCAGCTATTTTCGTTCGCAAGCTTTCTATTCGCATTTCACGATATTTTTTACTCACTCAAAATTAACTTACAAATTAAAGCTTTTAGTCTGTTTTTTTTCGTTCGTTATTTTTCTACTCCAATGCAGTCACCGATGCCTTTGCTCCACTCAAAGAGAATCGATTTGCATGTGGTACTTTGGAAAAAAAACAAGTACCAAGCGAAAAAAGAACAATATTCGTTTGGTCATCGATTCCATTAACCCAAAAAGAAAAAAAAACGTAAAAAAATTAGCATTAAGAAAATGGTGCAGCCAAAATGGAAGTGCTACTATTAACACGGACCGGCAAAGCTTTAATGCCTGCCTCAAATTCGTTACAATGTTCGGTATTTTTATTACAAAGATATTGCCTTTTTGCGGTCGCGCGCCCGCTTCAAGCTCGGAAGGACACATGATACATCGTTAAAATAACAATTTACTGCATGTTATATGGTAAAATTGTATATTGTCCAATGAAAATGTTGACTTTGCTTCTCTTTCTCTCTCTGTTTCCCACTTTTACGCCACGACACACCGTGCTTCACTGCACTGTGCTTTGTAGACAGGTACAAGGTACGCATTAGCCTGAAAACATGAGGCACTCTAAAGAGGCGAAACGAACACATGAAATGGAGAAAAAAAATTGATGGTGAAGAGGAAAAATGTGAAAAGTTTGCGTGTACAATAATTCCCGTTATTTTATTGCTTATTTATTATTTAAAAGACCGAATTTTCCAGCGGCGTGTGAGAATGTGAGAGAAAGAGCGAGAGAGAGAGAGCGAAAAAATAGCACGCTCATAAAAAACGCAACAAGCTTTTCGTGTTCACAGTTTATTAATGTTAGCATTCATATTGCTGGTCCTTGGCTGCTTCAATTTTTCTTGTTGGATTGTGCGCTCGTAATGTAGTAGAATAAGAGTTTTAAAAAAAACTGAGCTTAATCCACCGAAATAACTAGTTTATAGTTTTCAATGTAATTTCTGGTTTGTTCCATGTAATTCGGGGCCGTAGTAACATCGGTCTATACACGCCAGTTTCCAACGCGATACACGCGGGGCACATTGTATAATAATGCGCCGGTCGTAATTTTTAAATGAAATATTTTTGTTCGTTCGTTCGTTGGTTCAACGCTTTTTTCCATTCTTTGCTCCGGCACCGGATATAAATTTTAAATGAACACGGCACTTCAAATGCCAAAGATGAATTTCCGAAGCATTTTGATAGCTTTCCTGTTCTGATCGGCCAACTGAATGGGGCTTATATGTCTCCCACCCCATCGGCCATTTCATTTCGATGAATTATTAATGTGGAACAAGTTATAGAATATTTCGGCTCGTGGACGGTTATAAAAATTCTTTAAGCCAGTGAATAATAACAAAAGAATAAAGAAAAAAAAAGAGCTATGGCATTCGTTGAAGAAAACTCGATGCCAACGAAATGATATGCTGGGACAAAAACGATCGGGTGGGTCACAGAAAATACTATGAATAAGCCATTTTTTTCGTTAGTTTACACGATCGTCTAGATATGGTTTTTTTTTTACTTTCAAATTAAAACTGCTGCACGAAATCAACAAAATTATTTATTCATTTGATGTATTTTTCTTTTTTGGATTGGCTGCCATTCTTTTTTTTCGGGAGGTTGACGTTTGTTTTTCCGTTTTCGTTCGTCATGAAATATTCAAGCGAAAATATCTGATTTCGTGCAACTAGCCGAACAAAAAATATTGCTTCCAGTTATATATAGTTGTGAGCATATACGTATGTCGTATATAGTTTTTTTCTTTCTCCAGCAATGAACAAAGGTTATCTCTATGGCGTCAATAAAAATAAACGGTAGCATTGGATATATATATCGACGGCACATGCCTTTTCAATAATTCAATTGGAACGAGTAGAAATTGAAAACTAGATAGTGTGGAACCATGTTATAAACACTCCATTTAAACTATTAGTTCGTTTGAGCTCTAATTTTATTATTTCTAGGTTGAAAAAAGTCTATGTCCTAATTTGTCTCATTTTTGTTTTTGTTTTTAGCACTACATGAAATGTAGAGCTACTAATCTGGTTTTTTTTTCTCTTAATACTTTTTGAGCCATGAAAAGAATTAGAGTGGCTTTCAATTTTTTGCTCATATTTTTTATTCAATTTAAACCAGAGGCAGTATGTATCTTTCAAAAAAGCAATTAAACCAAGATCTTGTAATTCATTTTTGAAATGACTGAGAAAATCTTTTTTCTGTACCTACTTTGTTGCAAATATATAGCCTTCGTACTATACTTTTAATCCATAGTGTTATTAGAAGGGACGACTTTTAATGATATATTAATGCAAAGTTACTTCGATGAAATACATTTCATGTAGTGCGCAAAAAAGTAGTTTGTTGTGAAACAACAAAATAGAATAAGTAACTAAAATCTCAAGAACGCAGAGTGGAGCGTACTTCCCCCAATCCGTATTGGCTTCAGTACCTGAATCATTTACCGAAATGTAATTACAGAAAAGCCAAAACCAACATTTTGGATAACTGTGCCATTAATCGACGGCGGCAATATCTGTTTGCAGCAATTTTTTTCTGCAGTCAAATTAAAACGTCAACGTCGTGCTGAGGTTTTATTTTTCAATTATAAACGCACGCTAATATCCGCCGTATCGATATGGAACCTCAGTGCATATCCACTGGTCAACAATGACAATAACAATAATTCATGCGGTGTTTCGGCGCGGTTTGCTCATTTCAGATTTAATTTTATGTTTTCGCATCTCTCTGGCGTTATCACAGTCGAATGGTCAAATGAATCAACTTACTGAACAGCGCGAGGCAAAAAAAAGGATTGGTACTCAAGCCAATGAACAATGGTCAAGTTACACACACATAAAAAAGTAATTTCGTCCACCTTTTTTTGTGCCAGTGTGCTGTAACAACCAGATTGCGATTCTTTTGCAGAAATTTTTAATGAAACTTTGATAATTCGACAATTGAAAGCGTTTGCGTTAATTATGGTTTACATTCATCGACTTCAACGTTTGAATATTTTTTTATTAAAAAATTTGCGCCGACAACGAACCGAAAAAAAGAATCTGTAATAATAAATTGAGTGATTATTTCTGTCATTTGCATTAAACTCTATTTGCGCACTTGCATTGATTGAATTTTCTATGAATGAGCCAAAAAACAACGCTCGGCCGAGGCAAAAAAGACAAAATAGAACCGGATGGTGATACTTACTTGCATAGGTTGATCAATCATTTTCTCTGGATTTAGTCAAAGGTAGGAACGAACTGGCACTTGCGGATGCAGTGCCGGATGAACGAGTGTCGCATGTTGTAGAGCTGCGCTCGGTAGCTCAGCAGCTGCAGCTGCCGAATAAGCTAACTGATGATGCCATAATTCGTGTCCGCCGGGAAAGAATGGTGCACCTAAGTCTACGCAAAACGCATAATCGTCAGTACAACGAAAAAGAGCATCGTCCCATGGCAAAAACACGGCAAAATTGGATTGAATGAATGTACGCCCGTGCATCAGCAACGAATGACAAAATAAAATTGGAAAGCAAAAAAAGAAGAGAAAGATAAAACAAACGGAATTAATGTTTAGATATTCCATGAAGAGACCTGGTAGCTGCAGAAGAAAGGAAAATAAAATTTTTTTGTTCAAAATAAAGAAGGGCGAAAATGAAAGTAAACAAAAAACAGAATTATTTTTGTGTTAAATGATTAATTGTTGAGTGACACAAAGCAGCGTTTCATAAGACGTGGCACAAAATCCTGCGCCATCGCTTTCGTCGTCGACGCCGTTCGAAAAAGTTTTATTCACGTGCTCTAAAATTCAATTAATTTAGATTAAGAATTGAGACGTTGTGTGCGCGTCGACGCGATTAAAACATAAGATGGAACAAACTTTTATTCATTGTCAAATTCTTCGAAAGACGAACGCTTCGAACGCACACGGATTTTAAAATGTGTTTTGTCTTTGTTTTAATGCTAGACAATAATTAATCTTATGAAATTAATCCATTTTGGCTGACGGCGGAAATTGCCAAATACGAAAAATAAAATATTCAAAACACACGTAGGAAAAACGTGGAGCAAGCCAACGAAAATGGTTTTTCAAAACAAAGGAGAGATAAGCCAAAAACAATCGCGAAATGCTTTCGAAATTTTCTTTACACCGACGAAGGCAATTTGGAACGTGTAATGCAACCGAAAGGAAATTTACGATGGGATGGAGCGTCAACTCATCGGCGTTAAAAGATTTTTCCCAATTTTTCTTCCATCGTTTCTTTTCTGCATCGGAAAACGAAGAAAGAGAGAGAGAAAGAGAGAGAGAGAGAGATAAGAGAAAAGTTGGCATTTGCTTGAGCCTTCAAAATGGCGATCAATTCATCCTGTTCAACTTTGGCATTCTTCATTCGAGCGGCTGTACCTAAACTGGACTGCATCGTTTGCTCTCAAACTATCGATTGAATGTCATCAAAACGGGGAGCCAGCACTTCTAATTTGTAGTACAAGCACACAACACGATAACATATGTTATATGACACAAGTAAAAAAAAGTCTCAATTGCTGCCCAGCAACAAAAAGTGGAGAGGAAAGGAGCAAAAAAATGCGTTCGAAAGCAAACAAGTTTGTTCGCTCATCAAAGAGAACACACATACACGTTTTTTTGTCGCTAGTTTCGACGGAGGATTTTTCATTTTGAAAAGAGAAAAAAAAACGTTGAAACTTTCTCGACGTGGATCATTTGCAGTCCGATATTGATTTTCAATTCATGACAAGTACCGTTGTCATTTTGTTACAGAACAACGACCCTTGTCGATAGCGAGCAGCGAGAAGAGTGTATCTTCCGCCTGATAAAAGACGCGAATCGAGATGGAATATTAATTTTCTTTTGACATCCAATATTTATTGTCCCGAGGGCTTTTATCGGGCTAACATATGAAACAGCAACATGAATAAATATTATTCCAACGATAAATCTGTTCATCATCTACACATGTTGCGTGGCAAACACGAAACGAATATCGTGCCATACCGCTCCGATTTCTTCTGTTCAATCCTTAATTGTGGGATTTTCACTTTGCGCACACCAAGGGGGTGGACGCAGTTTTTTAACGTACAAGTTTTGACGAATTTGTCTCATTTTGCACCGAGTAGTCCCGAGTACATCTATGTATTTTAAATGTAAACTCGAAACTACTCAAAACACTCAGTAAACGTTGACAGTTCTTCGACAGTATACACATTACACTGAACTAAATGGCACCGAGTAGCACTGAGTAGATTCTAGTATCGGCGAGTGTTTGTCGAGTATGAATTCGCGCACAAACTTTGGCGCTCACCAACTTTGTGCCGCTTTTTTTCTTCGTCTATTTATTTCCATTGTGAGTAGGATTGCGACACAATTCGTTCGTTTCAACAGTCGGACAAACTATTTTAATACATTTGGTTCGATTGAATGAGAAAACTTTGATTTCCTATTGGGGTGTTTCTATCCATTTGCGTTTGTGTATTCGGATTTTGACCAACAAGTGTGACAAATGTTTATTGCTTTTTTTTCTCTCCACCGAACGCAAAAGAGAAGCGAGAGCACAGAATGAATAAAAAAAGAAGTTTGATTGCATTGTGTTTGTGTGCTGCTGTGTTGACTAGCTAAAACATATAAAAACTTTGACTCGTCGGGATATCAATTTGGGGTGTATTTGTTTGTAATTAAAGCATTTTGTCTAGCATTCCTAACAATATTTGCGCCTCAATGTTGGCAATAGGGTTTATTTTGTTACATTGTTAAAATGCCATACAAGTGAGTTGTTAGGGCCTGAATGTTTGAGGCTATTCAATGCCATGACTTTTTTTCCCATTGTTATCTCTCAATGGCCGAGTGAATATTGTGTGACACACTATATGTATGGTCTTTATTCAGAAATCTTTATTGCTGCACAAAATTTTGTGTTTTGTGTATGTGTGCATGTACACATTCGTTGTATATGCTGCAGAGAGATAGAGGATAACAACCAAATTGTATGGCATGAAATTTTGCTGATATAGAAGCACACGATCAATGTGGTTTCAAACCACTGGTTTGTGATATTTTTCAGAGGTGATTATTGTTATCATTATCGTTCTGTATTTATCCAATTGCTGTGTCTGTGTGTGTGTATTTGGTATGATGTGTGTTTGTGTGTGTGTGTGTGTGTGTAAGTGTGGCATTTTGTGACAGCAAAAAAGAGAGATCGAAAGAGCAGGCATATAAAAAAGATAAGACAATATAAATTGGTTAAAGAAGAATGAGTGAGTTGTTGGTTTCATGTGTACATATTCATGGGCTTTTGTTTTTTTTGTGATCAGCGTGTGTTATTCTGTGTGTATGTGTGTATGAGTGAAAAGTAGAAAGAGAAAAATAGAGCGAAAAAGAAAGGTTTGACTGAGATTTTGAGTGTTAAACTGTTTCGTTTTTTGTTTGTTTTTGTGGTGGACTATGAGTTGCTAGCAAGGAATTGTCGGTGATTATTTTTGGCATGTTATCTCATTCACAAAAATGGGGTTAATTTATAGCTGTTGCTGGTTACTTGTTTGTTGCTCTTGTTATTTATTCATTTATGCAGTTTCCACTAATTTCCATTTGCACGAATTGCAGCGGTATTGTTATGGTGGTGTATAAAATTGCAGTCAAGCACAGTGAGCAACGAGGCTTAATATGAATGTGTTGAAATATCCTGTTTATCTGAAATTCAGATTCTGACTATGAAAAATATGTTTTCGAACGATTTTGCTTCATTTCACTGTGCTATCGTGCGAATATTCGAATATATTCGAATATTCAGAATGGAACAACGAAAAATTAAAATCAAAACACTAACTTCAAGAAGTGTCTTACTGTAAGAAGCGGTATTTTTGAGAGTCGACGAATAAAATCGATTCTCGGGTTATTAGAGCAAAATAAAAGGAAAAAACTGATGCATTAACATAAAGAAAATGAAAATAAAAACGAAAGAAAAACTCAAAAATGTTAGTAAATTTGTTTTGTTTCGGTTGTTTGGTGTCTACTTACGTCCAGTAAGTGGGTGCATCAATGCAGGATGTGCGGCTGTGGTCGCTGTATTAGGCTGTGGTTTTGGTTTGCTCACTTTTGTATTACTCTTAGCGAATTCCAAACGTATTGTTTGTGGCATATCAGGATCAAATCGAACACCCTGCTGTAATATTTGGTGTGATTTTTGATTTTTTTTATTCTCTTTTTTTCTCTTTGTTTTGTTAAATTATAAAAAAAAATCGGGAGATGCCTTATAACAATACTTTTTTTAACAACGAAATTACAAAAAACGAGAGGAATAAACGTTAAACGACAAAATCAGTTTTCGAAATGGTTGAGTATGCACTGTAACGCGGAGAAAATTATTCGAATTTTGAAAGGTTTGGCCAATCGTCAAAATTGAAAAGCAGGAAATTGAGATTTATTTCCAACGATCCACCGAAGAGTTGTAGAATATTCAGTTTTGAAGTCTCATTGCATTTTAAAACTGTACACAGCAAACGAACAGCCATAATACATAAACAAAAATGTACAAATTGGTTGTTTTTGTTTCAAATTTTTTTTCTGTTTGTTTGTGGTTCATTCAGTTAGTTTCTTTGTTTCTAAAAAGTTTCTGTGGTGGTTTTTGTTTTTGCGTTCGGTTCGATTCAAATACAATAAATGCGCCACGAAATAAAGAAATTAAAATGATTAAAGCTTGAAATTCGAGTATATCATTTGGTTGTGGTAAGTGTATTACATTTAGTGAATGTGTATTGTCATTCGAAACCAAAAGAGAATTGGATATAATAATGGTATATGGTGGTGTATAAATGTTTCTAAATGCAATTTTTCATTCAGTCGCCCTTTTTTTTCGAGAGGCAGCTTTCAATGTGCAATGTGTTCACTTCAATTGTTGGTGCATCAATTTAATTTTGGTCTTATTTCCACATGAAATGGTTGCGGTTTTACCCTATACCAAACTTCTAAATGTTTGTTTTCAAACCAAAAATCATTCCAAATGTTGTTGTATTTCTTGATAACGCATTTCGAAGAAGCTCTTCGAGACTTAAATATGAATTGAGTGAGTTTTATTCTTCGACATTTAGATTCTACATTTTGAACTCCAATTTGATTGAATTCGAAATTAGTATTGAAACAGGAAATGAGAGAAAAATAAAAACAAAATTGCGTGTTTACTTGTAAATTGGTTTTCAAATGCATATAAAGTAAAAAGAACGTAGTTTCATTTGATGGTTGAATGGAACTATAAATACCATAAAAATTTGATTGTTTTTAATGTACGTGGCGAATCGATTCGCGCGCTGCGAATGTAATGTGAAAATTGAGTCTCTCTTGCAAAATGTTTGTTG